CTGTGCTTGTTAAACGTATCTTTGTTTACGAATAATTTTCATGGCTTTTAAAACATATCCTAAATTTATACTATAACTTTGGCTGTTTCAGGATTTGAGAATTGTAACGAGGTATTTCCGATTTACATTGGTGATGATCGAACTGATGAAGATGCTTTTAAGGTATACAAATTCAAATGATACTTTAAATATTTTAATTTATAATTAGATATATATATGTAAAAATGTCCACGACATATCGTTTTACGAAAATGATACTAATAGTTTTTTTCCGTTTTAATCTGTGGCGTCTATATTAGCTGCTACGAGAGAGAGGACAAGGGTTTGGTATTCTTGTCTCTAAGTTCCCCAAAGACACCAATGCGTCGTATTCTTTGCAAGATCCGTCCGAGGCAAGTGTACACACAATTATACAAATACATACCGTGTCAATACGTATGGTCACGCAATTATAATGACATTTTGCTAATAATATATACAGGTGATGGATTTCTTGAGACGATTGGCGGAGTGGAAACAAATGTAGAAAAGAACGTGAAAGGGGCATTGAAATAATTTTAGTATATAATATAAAAAAAATTACATAGGTGCATATGTATCATATAGATAATATGTTTATCCCTAACCTATAATGGAACATTGTTAAAGATGCATATAAGGGCAAGTTCTTATTATGCCCTGATATAGCTAGGTTGATCTTGTTTCATCGTAATTCTTTTTCTTTTGGAAAAAAAGATGAGGAAGAAAAATGGGGTACTTTTATTAAATTGGGGATATATTTTGCTTTCTTTCTATATCCTTTCGATCGCTATTGCTTGACGGCAATTTTTACCTTTTACGAATTAGACGATTGTAAGGGAAGGGGTATAGTTGGTAACTTTTGTAAAATTGTAAAGAAAATGTGTATTATTTTATGAAATAATAATATTTTCTTCCCTATATTATGAATTAATCGTTTATCTACAGAGTGGATGTTTATTATATCATGTATTTTCTTTGTCTCACAGAAATGGCATTATAGTTTCTTTTCATACAAATGAAAAGCAGTTAAAATCGATATATCACTTTCTAAGGAAGCTTACAATTTTCTCTTCATAGTTAATAAGCTTCTTTTTTAAATGACTAAAAAAAAAAGTTAATAAGCTTTTACTATTGGTTAGAGCTTTATTCATGATGTTGTCATTTGAATCCTCCGCTAAATCCTGCAACGATACATTTGTAAAAGTAAAAAGATTTC